ATGTGTGAATTAGATAGGCCTAACAATATATGACTGATATTGCGTGAGGAATTTTGCAGCAACTGGCAAAACACGTAATGTGGATGACTTCAGGCAGTGATGGGCATGTTAATTTTGTATATATGCATACCAGATTTAATTGCTCTTACCAAACATTAATAAATAAACGAACTTAAAAAAATAAAAAATAATAATACTTGTTAGGTATGTTGTATTTGTTTATTGATCGGGGGCATTCAATTACTCCAACATATTAAAGGGGCATTTGCAATCGGACTTGTAAAGTTTGTAATCTATAAAAAAAAAAGGTTCAGTATTTTCACAACTTATGTTAGCTACAAGCCTACAACAGAAAATACACACTACTTAATGTAATTACTAATGTGTAAATAGTACAATGCTTTGTATTGAATAAAACAAACCACTAACGGCAAAATCAGTTAATCGGATATAAAAAGAAAAGGTGATAGTCAATCACAACTCAGGGACTATGAAGTATACTTCAAGTTTCCCCAATTTATCTGATATATTTTATACACATAGCAATATCTTATTGTAACCATACTAGTTAGATGTCAAAATAATCAATATTTATTTCATTTTTATTATTCCTATTGTTATTTTCTCTAAATTATATTAACAAATACAAATGGCCTTTTTCCTCACTATCCCCAAACTGCATTTATTTCTACTTCCTTCTTCCCATCGACCCCCAAATCCCAACCCCTCACTTTCTCTCTCCTCCATCAACACCACTTTTCTGCCTCTCACCCTTTCTCTCTCACGCACACGCGCATACAGTTGTGCTCTCACTAACTTTTCAGTTAGAGAAAGCTCAATCATTGTACCTTCACATCCATTGTTGACGATAGGAAAAAAGGAAGAAGAAAAGTGAATCAAAGATTCGATTTTTATTTTAGGTTTTTTTTCTTTCCAATAATGGGCTGCTCGGCGTCTTGTCCGGCGACCTTCATCGCCCACCAGCAGCAAAACCCCGCCGCCTCGAACTCATCCTCCTCGCTTTCCAACTCGCCGTACTACTCCTTCTCCGACCCCTCGTCGACGCCGGTCTCGAGGACCCTCTCCCTGCCGACGCCTCTGGTCCACCACCCGCCGCTGCGGAAAGGCGACTCCAACCACTTCGTCTCGCTCACGTCCACCACCTACGGCTCGCTAGTGCTCGTCGACAGCCCGACCCGAAACCCCGACCGGGATTTCCCTAATCCTGCGGCGTCGCACTCGCAGGCGATGAAGGATGAGGATTTTGACTCGCCGGAGGATCCCCTTTCGCCGGACTCAGTCATCAACACCTGGGAGCTGATGGAGGGTCTCGACGATGAGGAATTTCAGTTCCACATGGTGGGTTCCCCTGAAAAATTCGGGCCGAAAAAGGGCATCAACGAAATCGAAAGCGAGATGGTGAATTCGTACGAGATTGTCGAGCACCCAGAATCGAAGCCTCTGTGGAAGCATTTATCAGAGGAATCACTGTTGGCGAAAATGGACACGAATTTAGTGTCCAGCTACAGAAAGGCCTTGATGGGCAGGCAAAATGTTTGTGAAAATGCCAAGGAAAGCTTAAAACCTCCGAAAAAAATTGTGTCTTTGCAGTCAAACGACATGGGCTTGTGCTCCTTCGTTTCGGACAGTGACGAATCTTGTTGTTTGTCTGGTGCTGAGGATAGGATTGTGCTGTATTACACTAGTTTGAGGGGAATAAGGAAGACTTACGAGGATTGCTGCTCTGTCCGTGTGATCTTAAGAGGGTTTAGAGTCTTTGTGGACGAGAGAGATATTTCAATGGACCGATCTTATAGGGCCGAATTGCAAGAAGCTCTGAAGGGAAAAGCTGTAAGCTTGCCACAGGTTTTCATCAAAGGGAAGTGTATAGGTGGGGCAGAGGAGATCAGGCGGCTTAACGAGGCTGGTGAGCTGGCGAAGCTGCTGGAGGATTTTCCGGTTAAGGATTTGGGGTTTGCCTGTGAGGTATGTGGGGATGCGCGTTTTGTGCCCTGCCCGAATTGCAATGGCAGTCGAAAGATTTACGAAGGGGATGAGGGGAAATTGATGAGATGTCCCGAATGCAATGAAAACGGGTTGGTTAGGTGCTCTAGCTGCTGCCCTTGAGCTTGTGTTTGACACTATTGATGATAATTAATAAGTGCTATTGGTGTTTGGATTTTATTCTGTGAGGTTATAATTATGTGCTATTGATTGATGGTTATGATTGTGGCATTATGTATCTAATCGTACATTCTTGAGTTTGATCTCATTTGTTTTTCTCCAAGTGTTTATATTGTGCAGTATTGAGTTTGATCTCATTTGTTTTTATCCAAGTGTTTATATTGTGCAGTATTTCGGTATTGATGTTTGTGGTCTTTTAAAACAAGTGCAATATGGTGTATGCTTGTTATTCGATCATATGCTACAGTTTGAAGCAGTTTGTTGATATCCATATTGTTTGATTAAGTGTGAGTTTGAAGTTTGGACGATGTTTTTGCTCAGTCGAGTTGTCATTCATGCTATGGTGAGCTTAAGATTTTTCTTTGATTTCATGCAAACTTGCCAATTTCAGGAGTTGATGGCATTACATTAGAAATGATACTTAGGAATTGAGTCCTATAGCAATTAGCAAGTGCATTTGTTATACAAATAACTAGAGTGGTGGTGGAACTTGATCTTGAGATCTTTTTACTTGAGATATTTGGTTGATTTCTTCACCAAACCATGTGAAGGAAGATGACTTTTGGGAGCTGTAATGTTTTTTTATGAGATTGAGCCTTCATTTGAGTTGGAAGCTTTGGCATTTTTCCTACTTTGGCTTCTACCAAACTATATATATAGTTATACACACTCACAACACATCTACAATTCTTGTATGATTCATTTGAACGATTAGATGAGTTGATTTGTCATATTTTTTTTAACAAAAGTGGATGCTTATTTTGAAAAATCTCATTCTTTTGAGCATGTGTTTCTTAGAGTATATATTTCAGTTTATGGATATGTATATATTATAGAAAATAAGATGATTGTCTGGCTGTCTTAATGACATGCATATCGGACTACAAAGGTTAAATCTTTTTTTGTTTTGCAATTGGATAGCAAGGGTCAATAATGATATAATGAAATATGTGAACTTATTGACCATGCATATGAGACTAAAAAGGTTAAATGGTGTATTTTATGAAGATTTTAGAAATCTTGGTGTATTTAATTTAAATTTTCTAAGACTTTTGTTGAGGTATTCATTTGAGATTTTAAAAAGTAAGACTAAAGATTTGTTAGGATTTCAAAAGATAATACAATATACGAACTCGTACTCCAAATTCCATCTCCAATTAAAAGCGAGACGTAATATTTTTAAAGACTTTTTAAGAC